TTTTTTGATTTTATCTCTTCAAAGAAAAAAAATTCATTACAGTTCTCATAAGGAACTCTTTGACATCTAAACAAGGACATATACTAAGGGTCAAGTAATGATCAGTGTCTCCTCAGCGATGAGTCGGAAGGTCTCAAAAAAATTATTGATCCGAGATGGGCATATTTCAGAGAAGTTGGGCCGATTTAATATCATACTCCTTTAAAGCGATGGATCCAATAAACGTGTTCAGGTCATCATACCTTATAGGTATTTATTTATTTTTTTTTTTGTGAAAAAAGTTGGGGTGTTTGGTATATATTGCATGGGCATGAAAGAGAAAATTGGGCCGTTTTGATATCATTTCCTTTTATATGATGAATCCAAACGGTACTGCCATCATATTTTTGGGTGCCTGGTTTTTTTTTTGTTTTTTTTTGTTTTTGGTAATTAGTGACATTTTTTGGATTGGGCCGAAATTTTGTACAAAAATCACATTTTTGTTTTTTTGGATATATGCGACACTGTTTTTCCTCCATTCCAACCCTTTGTAAATACATATCGATTCTTGATGAGGTATGCCTCACCTTGAACCAATTGTTTACCTACCAATGGAGGAAAAACACTTTGACGGGAAGGTCAGTGACAATTGTCGAATATAGGCAGCACTGTTTTTCCTCCATTCCAACCCTTCGCAAATATCCATTCTCGATGAGGCATGCCTCACCTCGAACCGATAGTTTTCCACGCATCCAAACGGACGAAAAACAACGTCGGGCCGCGGAGCTCGGCCGTGGGGAGGTTAACCACTCCCTGATTTCCCTTTCGGAGCGTTCGCGTCCGCGTCCGAATCCCGCGCCCCGAGTCCGCGCCGCGCCGGGCGCTGCGTCTTACCGCCGGGTGGGGGGATGCTCGGGTGTCCCCGGCCAACGATCAATAGAGCAACCGCGGGGGGTGGGGGGGCCGGGGGGCGCGCGGGGGAGTCGGCACTCCCTGCGCCCTCTCGCTTCGGCGTCGTCGCCCGTGTCAGTGCAGTCGAAGCGCGCGTCCCGACCGCTCCACCGCCCGGGCATGGCGTAGCGAGTCCCGAGTTCCGCTCCCCGATCGGCCCCCAGCGATCATGAGAGCCGGCGCCGCTCTCGCGCACACCTACGTATGGCTCGGCTGTATAAGCGTCTTGCACATTCACAACGGATGGTTGACGACCGTGTTTGCCGCGTAAGTGCACCCCTCAGCCCTGCCCGCTCGCCCGAGCACCGGGCGTCGGATTGATCGGTCGTCGGACGTGGGTGTCGGTGTGTCGGAGTGCCGCACGCGTCCGGGAGGACCCCAGAGCCCCGTGTGAAAATTGGAAGTCGACGCGTCGAGATGCGGCCGCTGTGGAGCACACTTTGTGGCTGAATTTGATGAGTTTCGTGCATGGTCTGGGAAACATGGCAAATCAGGGAAGGAAACGTCTAAACTAGACGAGAAAACCTGGGATGAGACCCTAGGAGGACCCCTGGGGATGAACCTAGATGAGAAATCAGGTTTGAACAAGATGTTATTGTTTACAATTAACATTGGCTCGACGGAAAAAATACGTATGACGTCATTTGTTTGATCTAATTTCCTTTCGACCTGTGTTAAAAAATGGTGGTTATTCTATGTTTAGGATCTGATATTCGAACTTGTCGTTGCGGGAATCGTCTTCTACGTAAAATTGTGAATCCCGAGTAAAAGTGAATCAGCCTGACACAATGCTACGTATCATAAACTACCCTGAGTCAGGCTGACATCAGTCGGACTCAGGATAGTTTATGAAACATAGCCTGACGTCAGGCTGGCTCACTTTTACTCGGGATTCACAATTTTACGTAGAAGACGATTCCCGCAATGACAAGTTCGAATATCTGATCCTAAACGTAGAATAACCACAATTTTTCAACACAAGTCAAAAGAAAGTTAGATCAAACAAATGACGTCATACGTATTTTTTCCATCGAGCCAATGTTAATTGTAAACAATAACATCCTGTGCAAACCTAATTTTCTTTTCAAATTGTTACGTAAAAGACGATTCCCTCAACGGAAAGTTTGAGTATCAGATCCCAAACGTAAAATAACCATAATTTTTGAACACGGATCAAAAGGAAGTTAGATTATGCAAATGACGTCATGTGTATTTTTTCCACCGAGCCAATGTTAATCGTAACATTAACTTCTTATTTAGGAGTTGATTTTCAGAATTCCCTTTGCGTGATTCGTTTTCCACGGGAAATTTTGAAATGAATGCATTTTATACGCTGCTTCAATTCATACCCTTACTTAGAGGCCCATTCACGGCGACCTAGAAATTTTATGGTATGCACGGGTCTTGTCTCGACGGGGCGTTTCATAGGAATTGTTCCAGGAAAAATCTCACTTGCAAAGTTGGGGAAAATATTAAGTTAGTCAATAATAATCACAGTACCAAGCTGAGGCCTTGTAGAGCCCAGAGAGCGCCTCGGAGAGAAGGAGAAGAAATTTTGTTGTTTTGTTCAATGGGGGAAAAGCGCAGAAGTTTCATTCCTGCGCTTCGATTTTGGAACAAATTCCATGAAAAAGTCCTGCGGAGACAAGACCCAGGAAAAGTCGGGGGATTTTTTGAGCAGGGATCAACAGAAGTCCGTGTAATCAAAAGGGAAAATATCTATGTGGGGGTTTTGTCAGTAGTCGGAATAAGTGGGAGGGTGTGAGCATTTGGGAGTCAGGTTAAAGCAAAACGAAGTCAGGGATGCTTAGGGAATAAAAAATGAAAAAAATCTGGGAAATATTTTTCGAAAATTGACGTATTCATACCAAGAGGAACTAGGTACAAATGAATGAAATCCCAAGGAACTACTTAGCCTGGAACTACGACTTAAGAGCGCAGTTCATTTTGATTTATTTGCACATGGTTTCTCTCAGCATGAATATGCTTAAATGGAAACTTCTCAGTGAATTGAGCAGGAGAACCCTGTTCCTGGAAACTCAACAATTATTTAAGGCGCTATGACAGTGATCTAATTTGACAAAAATACAAGTGTATGGGCGGGAAATGACCCTATGACCTATTACGCCTGATGTGATGAAACCAGCACAGAGTGTGTGCTACTTTGTGCCTCATCTCCTATGCTAAGGATAAATATCATGGAAAAACGAAGATTTTTCTCACAATCAGTGTATATCTCATGCTCTTCTTATCGTAAAGAAGTTTCCTCTGTACTTTTTACATAATTTTAAGACGAATAGTAAATTCTCGTCTACTGAGGAAAACGTATCAATACATGGTGCTCAAGATGTTTTGGATTTCCACTCTTCATGTGTTCTGTGGGGCTCTGTAAAGTGCCAACGTTTGCCTTGAACCACACCAACCATCGGTTTGGTGAAACCCGACCGCTCCGATCAATCCGATTCCGGAATAAAATTAGTTCTGCCTGCTAGTTCCCGCCTGTAGTTCTCGACTCCGATCACCGCAAGCTCGTTTGCGTCACGTATCACGTAACGCACGGGCGTTACGGATGCTTGAACGGCAGGATCTCTGTGCTCCGTTCGACCTGATGGTTGGATTAGTGTTATCTTAGTAAATCCAAGAACGGCAACATTTTGCCTCTGATGTAAAACTGAAAAAAACTTTGTTTATTTTTCCTCTTTTTCTGATTTATACCGTTTGGATCCACAGTTAGATGGCAAGTCAAGGAGGAGGGTCAGAGAGGTTTCAGGGATTCTGAACTCCTCGAAAAGGAAAGCTTTTAATTTTGTGGAAATTGAGACCTGGTAGACTTACTTTCCTAATCGAAGGCATGAGAAACGTCAATCTAATTGAAATACAAATTGCAGTTCACGATCAGTCCTCTGAAATATGCGGACTAAAACCAACCGAAGGGCTGGTCCTTCCTCGAGCAGATCATTCCTGCAGCCAGTTTCCAGACGTTAAAGAAAATGTTGAGCCTTGGACCCTTTCTGAAAAATTCTAAACCATGGAAGGGCCTACAGTCAACAGAATATATCCATAAAAAAAACTATAAGGTCGTAAATATTCACACCTTCAGGGCTTCATGCACAAGCGTCGCGTAGTACTCAAAACTGAGAAGAATGACATAAAATATAAGAAAACTCATTGAAATTTTTTATCGGAACTTATGATAACAGACGTCGCCCTTTGAGTCAATATGTAAGAGAAAGCTATCAAGACGTTATCTCTTTCTTACAAATCGCGTCAATGGGTGGCGTCCCTTATGGTTGATTTAGATAAACATTTTCAGCAAATCTTCACAAATTTCATGTCATTCTATTCTGTATTAATGCTGCTATACCTGCTATACGTTATAAGTTAGTTTCTTGCATTAGCTTGCACATGACGATAATTATTGCTTTTCAAGGATGCAAACCGTATAACAGCGTTACAAAGTGGCGAATCTCGTTCCTGGATCGCTCACAGCCACCTTACGAGACAGTATACCGTCAATTTTTGAGAGTGTTTACCCTGTCCAGATTTGAATCCGACCTCATTGACCTCGAGGACAACCTGTCCGACTTAGAGTACGAGTGCGGACATGTCGGAATGTCGAGTTCCAAGGGCTCAAAAGGGCAGCCAACCTTCTGACACGAAAAAGTCACTGCCGATCTTTAGATTCCAATATCGAACCAAGATGACCGAGAATGCTCATAAATAAGTTTTTTTCCGCAAAAATGAGCGAATTTATTCAAGAATTAAGTCAAATACTTGCTTTACAAAGTACAGGTCGTAAAAATTGTAATAAGAAATCGCCCTGGATACTTTGAATTGGACTGAATTTTGCAATTCGGAACTATGAATTCCGGCTCTTTTGGAAAACCACTTATGTGCATAGGGAAACTAATGGCACATACGTTGTTTTTAAACCGGGCCAGAATTTATTGTTCCAAATTGCAAAATGCAGTCCAATTAATAGTTTTGCTGCCCTTTTGGGCCCTAAAAGCTCCATGACCTAACCTCAAAATTACCGACCCGTCTGTACTCTCCCTAGATAAGTACTCTAGCTCGGCTGGAAATGTTGTTGTGAAGGAAGAATCCCTGTTGCCTATTGATATTTTATACATTTTTAATCCGTCAAATGGCATTAATAGATACGGTGCCAAATTTCTACCAGGTCCAAACGGAATATAAGTCAGAATTAAATAGAAATGAAAAGATACAAACAATTAAAACTTGAACATTTTTTCAGTGAGTCACCGAGTATCAGATAAACCCAATGAATCAATGATACATCACAAATGAATGGCTGCATTTAAACGTTGCTCCTCAGACGAAGAATAACGTAAATCCAATTTGAGATTACAAAATTGACTCGCATGAAAAATTCACAAAAATATGACTGTGCAACTTCTATAAAAAATCTTGCCTGTAGTCAGAAGGAGGATTGAGTGAAATTTTCAGTTGGGAACACCCTACAGTCTCATTGAAAAAATGAAATTTGCCAGTGGAAAAGTTGCAACGTTGAATCTAGTTACAGTTCTTTCGACCGGGAGACGACTGAAAATGAAAGTACGAATTCACGAATCGAAGTAAAATTCGAATTTTCTACTCTCCTCTCGTGTTAAGTTTATATTCTGAGGGTTTATCAGCCAGGGTAATACGTTTGGCAGCCTTCTTGCTGAAGTTAGGGAAGTACATCCCTGCGGTGAGTGGGTCACGGAAAATCAAACAAACCTACATTCGATGGTAAATAAAAGTTGAACAGCTGCGGCGAGCGTTGAAGACACTAAATTCACGAATTGACGTTAAATTGTACATTTGCATTCATCTTGCCATAATCATAAGTTTTCACAGTCTACACAGTTCATAAAACGTACCGTGCGCGTTAATTTACGTATACACCGTTGAGCTTTTGTTTGATTCACATAAAATGGACCACTAGACAAGGTACGAATTTCAGCATTCTGATACATGTTTCTCAATCAAAATTTCACGTAGAACACGATACGCACAACGAAAATTGCCAAAATCAACTCCTGACGAAGATATTTAATGATTCTTGATGCGTAAATTCAAACCACCCGCTCATGAAAACTCAATGCTCTACGTGATTCACATCGCGCGCTAAATGTTTATCATGACAGTCTCTGCGATGAAAAAATCTTCAACTTCAATCTTGACACTTTGGCTCAGCTATAGCAAATTACCAATAGTTTGAACAACACATGGTGGAAAATGAACATTGCTCGATTGAGAAGCTT